CTTTTCCCTGGCGGGCCCCCCCCCCCCCCCTCCCCCCCCCCCCCCCATCCATTTCGCATTTGAGCAGTCTGGGTCACCTGTGCTCAAGAGATATTACCTGTTGCAGGGGTCAGATTGCTGCTGCTGCTGCTGCTCCTGATCTTTCTCCTTTTTTCTCCCTACAGCTGCAACAGCTGTTCGATAGGAGATCACCCCTCCTCTTTCCTCTTCCCCCACCCCATGACGTCACATTGTGTAGCACTAAGCAGGAACAACACTGCACTTCCCCGAGAAAGGACTTTCTAACCCCAAGTATCTTCACTCCATTTGCCCTGCTCCTCACCCAGCCTAGCCTAGCCTAACCTAACCTAAATTGGTTTCTTGCAGTTGTACCAGTAAGCTAGTCCATAAGTCCCACTAACTTTGTCTCTTAACCCAGAGAAATTTTTTTTTTAAGGATTACTAGAGAGAAGAAATGCAAAATCAAAAATTTGTTCCTCTCTTCTGTTTAAATCATCAGTGCTACAACAATGCTAACAACACTACCAAATGATAAGGAAGGCTGGGAGCATAGCATAAAAGGAGCCCTTTAAAGTATTTCAGATAGAGGAAAGAATTTTCCACTTCTTAGCTACAAATTTCTAGTTATTCATGCCTGTGTGAAATATGGAGACTACTGGCAGGGGAAATGTATGTGTGCATCCTAGTTTACTTCTGCCCTGAAGTGTTTGGGATAATCTCAGCATGAATCAGATGAAGAAGAAAGTCATAACATGTTCATAAACTCCCTTCTGCTAATAAGTAAGTTTTTCCACTGGCACTCATGTTGACAGCACATCCCATCCTACAGTGAGATTCGAAATTTGATGTTATGACTGAAGAAGTCACCAAGGACATAATGAGCATAGGATGTTACGTGTAAGTACAAGAAGTCTGGGAAATAAAATGTGCCTTGCTGGGTCTCACCCCTACTGCGAGTGGCACTGAGCTCCTGGCAAGACCATCTCCACTCCCTGTGGTGTCCTGGAGAGGCGAGAAATGCCTCCCTGGCAAGTGGCTGATTTCCTGGCAAACACAGCAGGACACTGTCTTTCTTGGTCGCATCTCCCACCTGGGACCTCAGCAGAGGAGTCACGCAGTTACGCCTGGCTTTCCTGCTGGTGTGGCAGCTCACTTTTACAGCTCAAGAATCATCATATTTTTCTAGGCTAAAGATTGTCTTTCTTTCTCGGGAGGAAACAATAAATCAGCGTTAAACAAAGGGTTAAACAGTTAAACGGCTCTCGAAAGGCTCAGCCCATAGCTCTTGCAAAACAGCTCCCACACCACCAGTCTCTGGCGGGACAAGGGGTGTGACTAACGCCGCCAGGAGCTGAGCTCTCTCGGCTGGAACGAGAGCCAGCAGCAGGAGCAGGCTCTTCTCAACCGTCAGGCAAACGCTTAAAAGCAGCAGAAGCTCACCGAGCTCTGCCACCTGCAAAGTCCCTCTGGCAGGCAGCTGCCGAGTTAAAGCTCCCGCAGATGACAAGGGCACCTGCAAGAGCTTGCGAGCCGGGGACCCGTTCCCTTCCGTGGGGCTGGCTGCCCCCGTGGCGCAGCCTGGCAGGAGGCAGAGGGGGGCAGCGGGGGTGGCCTTGGCCGCCGGCAGCCCCCTGCGCCGTGGGGCTCTGCCCCATGCTGGGGACCTCGCCCCAGCCTGCGCTGCCCTGCCCCAGGCAGGGCTTTAGAGCAAAACAACTGGTGCGGAGGAGGTGCTGCCCACCACTGGAGCATCTCGAGGGCTCGCCTTGGGCCCTGTGGACTGGACGCCCATCGCTCGCTTGCCGGAAAAAAATTCTCCTGGTGTGGTGGCATGTGGAAAGAGTGATGTTGGTGTGCTCCAAGACTGCCCTGTGATGAGGAATGAGGCATTGCAAGGGGCAGTAAGTAGAAAATGTGCTTCAAAGGTGTGCTGCTGACCTGAACCATAGTGCTATTATAAATACACCCATTTGAGTGGCAGTGCACTGCAGCGGTGGAGCTGAGGTACAGGGCTTGTAAATCCACTATTACAAAGATATTCAAATTCTTCTTTGGGAGGTGTAGAATACAATTCAGCCAGTGGGTTGTAGTAAATCTGGCCAATCAGACCTGATGCTAGCCCTTAGGATCTGTTTTTCACAAGAAAAATGCTTCTCTGAAATACGAAGTTTTTTCTGTGTATAACTTGCAGTTGAAAACTCCTGTAAGGTCTCTCCAGCTGTGTGATTTGCAGTGGTGTTTTTGTAGTGTAATGGCCTAAGGGTATGAGAAAGGAAGACCTGTAACAGCTTTTATTAGACTACATGGAAGTGGGAATGCTTCCAGGAACATAGGGTTTGGAGAAAGGCTTTTATGCTTAAAACATTTAACAATTTTGTAAGCTGCAAAGTCATTCAGATTAAAGCAAATATTAAATGACACTATTGGAACATGTTCGCTGGATATGGGAGACTAGAATAAGTCTTGGAAAAAATCTAGCTTTTATTTTTGGAAAATAAACTTTCTTCTCCACTCCAGCTACCTGTCTTGCAGACAAACTTCTGTCTAGAAACTACTTAGCCAGCATTAAAAAAATTACTTGTATATAACTGCTGGCATCTCTTAAAACAAGCTTCATGACTGTTCAGCACATGTTAAGCCTGAGTCTCCTGGATTCCTCAAAATCTAAACAGATTGTAACCACATTTGGTTTCCCTGCGTCATGAGGTGGGAAAAACATGTTCTGTCTGCGCACAGTGGTTGTGTCAGGAACCATTGCAAAGGGGTGCTTTATGCGTAAAGTTAACAGCAGCCCTGAAATGTTTCGTGTGATACGGAAAGAATCTCATTCTCTTAAAATAGAAACATGACCGGGATAAAAGATCTGCCTCTTTTATGCATAGCTTTTGTTTCCAAATCCTTGCTATAAAAGCAATATGCAGATGTGCTTTAAGAAAAGAAACCATTTGTCTTAAAATTACTTTTCAATGTTCCTAACTGTTAACTTTATGTCTCCTTTCCTCCATGATTAGAATTTTTGGCTACCTGAATTCAAGCCTATGTTTTGGCCAATGGATTACACTAGTTTAAGCACTGGTAAATTAACAGCTCTTAAACACATGCTTAATTGGAAGCACACACTCCACAAAGTAGAAGAGTAAATCCTGGGCTGTCTGGGGCCGTGGAGCTGATGTGGTGCAGTACTGGACACTCTTACTTCTCGCTAGCAGGCAGAGTATTTGCACAGTGCTTGGTTGGTGTTTTTGTCGTGTGACCAAGACTGCCAGTGAGAAAAGGAAGGCTGTGCAGCAGCAGCAGAGGAAGCAAAGTCATCTCCACACTGCAAGCAACTAACAGGGAAAAGTGTCAATGTTTTTGTCTATACTTTCGAACTGGGCCAAAGAGGAAGCAGCAGCTGTGCCAGCTTCATGCCTTTCGAACCTTGGCGATTTTGTAAATTCAGCAGAGACCCTGGCTTGCAGACAGGTCCTGCTTCACCAGAGCTGACTTGCTGGTGTCATCTAACAGAGTAAGTCACACCAGACAAAGTTCCTGGCTGCTTTAGGATGAGGAAAGGTGTACTGGGTGAGCAAGCGCCCACCAAACAGATACAGAGCTGGCAGGAGTTTTAGTTTTACAATTTCATCAGCTGAAAAATGGATGAAGTTCACAAATGCTTTTGAAAGAAAAAAAAATCCCAGCCAGTCTGTTTGGCTTTGTCCATCTATGAGTGATCTTTTGCATTTACTATCTTTCAGGACAGTTCAGCTCCAATGCAGGCAGGGATATTTCAGAAAAAGTGGACAGGTGCCATTTCCTTGCCACTGCCCTGCAGCTGGTGCAGAACAAGAGGAAGGATGAGGGCAGCCAGACAAGAGCCTCCTGGCAGCTCCTGTTCAGACCTCTGAAAATGTCACTTTGAGGAGATGTGACAGCCTTACTCTCCTTACTTGCCACTTCCTGGGAGCCTTTGAGGGAGCAGGTCATCTGGCCTCTAGATTGACCTTTGTACTTGCAACAAGACCTACAACTCTGTAGGAATATGTTGATTTTGCAGTGTGTGATTTTCAAGCATTGATCTGCCAGACTACGAGATATTACCCCAATCCCTAGGCAGAGGTAATCAATAGAAAACTACTGTGTTCTCAGTATAGGATAAAAATGCAAACCACTGTGTTTCTGCAACACACCTTAATCCTGTTGTTCGTAAAACCATTTCTACATAGAAGCAACTTATTTTTATGATGCAAAGGATGACTTCTTTTCAGGCTGCTTATTATAACCTAGTTCTACTACTCTTAAAGAATCTGCATCTGTGTATTCAGGGACAGTATAATTATTTTTTTAGGGTAACAATTTTTTACAATTTAATTTTCTCACAGGGAGTGCTGTAAATAGCATCACTCATTTTACCTTTTTTTAAAAATATCCTTAAGTAGAGATTCGTGTCCTTCCTTCTCATTCCCAACCAGTCTCTTCAGCAGAGTGGGAAGTTCACTGGTTTTGCTAGGGAGGCAGTGAAAGGATTAACTAAATATCAGACATACCCAGTTCTGAAATGAGTCATGCTTCTACAGTCTTTGTGCCTCCCAGTTCACTGCACTCAGTTTCATTGCTGGATGAGACCCATGGGCCCACCAAATATGCCACTACAGTAATAAGGAGGAATTACTGCTTGATGAGCTGGGAGGTTTCCCTTTTTTTAAGTGTTAGCCATTACCAAGTCACTCATAACGGAAGTTGCGATAATAGTTGCTGACATTTTCTAAGAGTTTAATGGTTTGCACAAATAGTGACCGTTACCCTTCTATGGGGAACTGGGAAGGAGAGGGAGATGTGCCTATTTTTTCTTAAAAAAAAAAAAAGGAGAAGAAGAAAGAAAGAAAATGAAGGGTTTAGTATCCTGAAATACTTCTAGTGACCAGTAATCACATTCGGCACAAACCCTTTTTAAATACATGTGAGTAGCTGTGTCAGGATTTAATGCTTGTCCCAAGGACAGCAGCGTGAGTTCCGCTACAAGCAGCAGGAGCTTATTTTTAACTATTAAAAAGTTAACAATCACAAGAAAAGATGTCACAGCCAAGGTGAGCTTTTCTCAAACAGTGGAGACCAGAACTGAGTCCACCTTGAACCCGAAGAGACTTGAAGAGAAAGTATATTAATTCCTTAAAGAGAGAGCAACGTTTTTAAAAAAATATTTTAAGTCAAACAGACTTTTTTTTTTTTTGGTAGAAGAAAAGCTTTCTGTTTTATATAAATATGTCTGTCAAGATATTTCCTTTGTGGGAAAATGAACTGTAACACACAGTGCTCCAGCTAAGTCCAGAGGAAGTTGTGTAGGTTCTGGCCTACCAAGATAAGAAACTTGAGGAATATGGCCATCAATAAGAGTTATGGGGAGTAGACATGGTGTGTCTGGTGTGCAGGGGACAGATACGCAATTTGAAATCTCAGTGTTTAAGCTCCTTAATGTGGATTTTGACTTTGCAAAGGCATTACTGTGTTTTAACAGTTATTTTGTAGAGGGGAATGTTAACTGTGTTCACTTCCACGCTTTGAGAAGCAGATTATATTACTTGCTTAGAAGATTGAATTCTTCATTGCTGAAGGTAACGTGGTTTTAAAAGCCTAATCACAAGCACTTGGGCTCAGGAAGGTTGGTCTTAGAAAATGAATCAACCTTGCAGCCTCTTGTGGAGGGAACTGAGGCAGGACATGAATTTCTCTGTACTCATCACTTACCATTGCTTCATCCTCAGGCCCTCTGAAATTAAAACAGAGGGCTGGCAGTTCACGTGAGCTGGGGATTTAAATTTCAATGTTGTACAGAGAGAAAAGGAATTCATCCAGGACACAACTACTGAAGAGCCTAAATTGTGTTTGGAAGCAAGGTGGGCTTGGCAAGGTGCTGCTGCAGTGGGGAGGCCCCACGGCAGCACTGCAGCTGCCCCCCCAGTTTGCATGGGGGGCTGTGGCACTGCCATGTCTGCAGGCTGAGAAGAAAGATTGTCCTCGCTTTCCTTGTCAGAGTTTGCTCCCCTAGGAACCCTCAGCACTGAAAAAGCCTTTGCACCTTACCAGGATTTCCTGACGTCAGTAGCAGTGTGAGAAACACTGATATAAATGACCCATCCTTGCCTATACGAGGATTAGTAGGAAGATTGGGGGCTATTAAAAGCAGTCGCCTTACTGGAAAGTATCAAATGCAATCTTATTTGCTTTGTTCACTTTTTTTTTTTGCTTTGCATTAGATTTCTAAAGCAAAGTTAATTCATTCTGCCAGTCAAAACTGAGGACTGGCACTTTCTTTTAAGATTTATTCTGTGTCTTTGTCACCCTCATTTCTTGGTCTCCCCTCTGGTTGCTCCTTGGAAGGACCCACTGTTCCCCCACAACTGGGAGGGGGGAAACAGTTTAGGGCTACCCCCAACAAGGGGCAGGGTGGGTTGGAAGGGGTGAGGACTGGCAGGACGCAGCAGTCCGTGGGCACTGTCTCCCCATGAGCAGTTCCTGATCCCCTCTCCAGCCCCCCACTCCTCAACCCTGGTGTTGGTCTGCCAGCTCTACCACAGCCACCACTGCAACTTCCCTATGGCTGCTCTGAAGGAGTTCACAGCTGTCCTTCTTAGCAATAAGGGCTAATCCTGGATGATTATTTGGAGACTTATTTATATAGACTTTTGTCCTATTTTGCTTTGGGTTTGTTTTGGGTTGGGTTTTTTCCTCTGTTTTGGGTTTACTGTTTTTTTCTTTTTTCCCAGTTTAAAAATGAAGTAAAGCCAGAGCTGGCAGAACAGGCCAAACCCAAGGAGGAATTGCTTTGGAAAGCTCTAGCTGACTATGACTTGTGAATAATTTTTTCCAGAGGGAAGTCTGGAGTAAGCATTCTTCAGTTCTGCTCTACCTATTCTGAAGTTCCTTGTGGGATACCAGGCGCTTGACCCCAATCCCGTAAATCCACTCCAGAAAACAGACTCTGCATAGGTGAAACCCGACCAGTTCTAGTGCAGTATCCCAAAAAGTGCAGCACAGCACAGCACATGTAAACAAGGAGCTGTGAGAGGAGCCATGAGAACAGCCACAACTGTGACTGGGACCAGTGCTGCACAGCACTGGTGCATGAGTCTTATTAGAAAATTTATGAAACTTTTTGGCCTACAAGCAGTCCCATCTTGGAAGGATTTTGTTTCATCTATGTTAAATTTCAACCAGGATTTGAGACTTAATGTTCAGTATTTTATTCATTTCCATTTGAAAATAATGTATGTTAAAAACTATATTTTGCTACATTTGTTTAACTTCTAGAAAAATACTAACTGGAAGAAATACCAGAGGGTTTCACTTAGCCAGGGGCATAATATATAGCTGATCTGGTAACACAATGGTCATGAAATACAGGTTGTTCCAAAAGATTACAATGGCAAGGAGAAGAGAGAGGATCTTCTGACTCTGTCAGCTTTCTTCCTTTACCTTAAAGAGTCTTTACCTTTCTTTAAAAAATAAGAATAAAATGAAGATATTTTGGGTTTTTTATTTTCTTTTTTCCTTTTTATTTGTTGAGCAACCATGTCTGTTCCAGGGTCCCCATCTTTAAATAGGTCTTCTAGACATAGTCTCAGTACAAATAATTTCTGTTACCTCACAGTTCACCAAAAAGTAATTGAAATCAAATGCTGGTTTATGAGCACCTGTCCATCATCTCTGAGATCTTCTTCTTTCTTTCAAGAATAGTTCATTTTTCTTTGAACTCCCTTCTGTGAACCCAGTAGTAATTTACTGATAAGCAGCATGCTGATAAAAAGCTGAAACGCTGTCTTGCCAAAATACATATACATTACCCACAATTCTTACACTTGTCTATAATCTAACTTTGCCCTCTAGTGCCCGTTCTGGTTTTTTTCCTGCACTGCAAAGTACCCTGTTGACTTAAATATGTCAAAACATATTTTTATTCGGTGATGAGATTTTTAAGGGCAGTTATGAACTAAAAAGAAAGCTTAATGGTATGAGAGTTTCTGAGCAATTAGTGGGCCATGAATTAACATATTCCCACTGCAGGCAAGTGAGACAATAAAAACTGGGATCCTCCATAAGAGAGCAGTTGAAAATATTTCATGCTATTTCCAAGTTTCATTAAAAATGAGGCCATTTCAACAACGGTTTACTGCACTGCAGAAACCACCTAGGACATCAGAGCCAGAAAGGTAAGTAGACTGAATGTCCTTTTATTGTACAGGCTTGAAGAAGCACAAAAACCAAACAAGCAGCAGAAATAAGACTTGAAACAGTTTCGCAGTGGGGCCATTTCAAGTGCTGTTAGTTACAAAGCCCAAGAAGTACACATTTTGCTGTAGCATTTGTGGCAGGATATCTGTCACCAGGTGGAAATTGCTCTGATACTTTGCTCTGTTTCTTTGGTCTTTTCCATTGTTCTGAATCATGGTGAAGTTGTTAGCTGGTTTTATTTCTGGTATTTCAGCTTCAGACCTGATACCCATGTCTCTCATCACTTCTTTAGCTCGTATCCACGAGTGGTAGAGAGGAGAGTATGTACACCCTGCAAAAGAGACCTGTGTCATAGATATGGTACCTGAGATCTGGTGCACCATTGCTATTGTTCTTGCTAGTCAATTTTTTGTTTAGATGTACCTTTTTATTATCACCCCTTTGAATGATATGGTTCTGAATAGCTGGAGATCAGGGAAAGCTTTAAAGTGGTTCCTCACCTGATGCTTAAACCAACTGCTAGCAATTTCAGTCCTCTGGGACTAACATCACCCTCTCTTGGGAGCCAGTGCCATGCTCTGTCTCCTCTGGTTCTTTATGCCAGACTCAGAAGCCTGTGCCAAATGTACATCAGCCTTGGCCACAGGGAATAGCTTTTTTTTTGAAGTTGTTGGTTTTTAAACCAAATTTTTACCAATATTCATTAGGTAACAGAGCCTGAATACAACTCTGCTTTGCCCCTTACTAGCACAGAGCAAGTGACTAGGGAAAACGCAACCATTTGAAATGGAGTTACCCAGGGACAATTTCCCAAGGGTAAAATCCAGGCTTGACCTCATAGAAATTAGTGGATTTTTGCCCAGTTTGTTACAAGTTGTTTTAAAGAATTTTATTATATTGCAGTTATTACTCAAGGCTATGTGGTTTGGAGGGGAAATTCATTGGCATACCAAGGGCTATATGTTTCTGTGGGTCAATTTGTGAGCAAAGGGAACAAGGCAGAAAATTTCAAGCAGCAATAAAACACAGCACTGAATGGTGATGTTTGAGATTGCAGTAGCCAGGATGAATATGTCCATGAGGAAGCAGGATGTGCCACAGGCAGATGTGGCTTTAGGGTACTTTTATGTAGAGAAGTTATTTTAAATAAGCTTGTGAAAGAAGTTAAAATGAATTGGAAACACAGCGGGAAGGAAAAAAAGCCTTACCCCCAGACAGTTAGAGAAGGCAAAGATACTTCAATTAAAAGTTAACAGTGTCCAACTGAGAAGTTATTGCAGAAGACATAGCTACTGCAAACAATAGTCTATGTAGACAAATACTTCTAGAACTACTTTACGTCTCTGAACAAAGCAAATGTTAGAATGACTGAAACATAAAGAAAAAATACATTCTTGTAAAAGAGCATACAAACTTTGAAGAATAATGAATGGTCTCAACCGAAGCCAGGACCACTTAAATAAGCAATATACTACTTTATTTTTGTTGCCATCTCATTCAGTACAAATGTAGCAATTCCTCTAAGGTGATTCTCTATATGTAGGTGAAATAGAGATGGAAAGTAGCAGCACATTTTCTCAGCAGAAAACACCATAGGATGACACTATTTGTCATAAGATTATAATCCCTTCCTATGGAGTAACCCTAACTAAAAAGTCATATAGATTAATTTATAGCTAGGGTAGACAGCTTGCTTACCAAGGGAAAAAATCACGTACATTGAATAATGCATTACATTTGCAAAAATAAATTTCAATAGCATAATTATTTAAATACAATCAAAATGAACTGGAAGCACTGCCACAAGATAGATCATAGAACAAATAATAAATATAAATATTTTTAAAGCTAAGTTATGTCAGGTCAAAATCTTTGTACCTTAGTTGTTAAGCTTCCTTACGACTTTATCAATCAATTGAAGACATCTCCTCATTTCTGCACGGCTGATCTCCCAGGAGCACAGGTTGTGTTGTTTGTCTTTAAGAAAACAGTCTATTTTTTGGAAATACTTTTTCAGTTTCAGCCTGTTGACTTCATTACTGTGAAAGTAGTGGGTCTGCTTCTTGGTTACACATGCCTCCAATTGCTCAATTTGCTGATAAAGTCCATTTTGGAATTGTTCTATAGCTGTCCCATCCCAAGCAGCTAGAGTCAGATTTTTGCTAAAGATATAGAAGATGTGTTGGAAGATCTCTTCAATGGCCACTTTGACAGCCTCTTTCTGTCTGGGCTTTAGAACCTGCTCAGGAAATCTGAAGGACATTTTCTCTCTTAGACATTGTTGAGGAAACTTTTTGCCCATTTTGTCCAAAAGTTGCAGGCTGTTCTCAATCATTTTTCTTTGCTGTAAAGGAAGGTGATTACACTGAAGACTGGAGATGGTGGTGGTGCACAACAGTATGAGGCCAATTGTTATCAAGCCAAAAACATTCATGATGAAGATAAGCTCTTACGTTCCTCCTGTCCTGTGTATAAATTCTGAGAGACAGGCTGGGATGCTTTGAAGGTCATTCGTAGGCTCCTGTTTCTTCAAAATCTTGAAATCTAATTATTCTGTAGGAGAAGTTTTCTTTCATCATTTTTTGGTTTTTAAGGTTTTCCCCCTTGTGTATGCTTTTGACACTTACCACTTTCATTTTCTGCTTTATGACTTCATTGTCTTTTTTTTTTTTTTTGCCACTTTCTTTTTATTTCAGCTGGATATTAGAATATTACATATATCTTGGATGATTAATTCCCCCTCCCTCAAAAATTCTACAGGAAGTATAATGAGAATTTAAAAGAAAAAGTTACAGAAATATCCTTAGTTTCTTAATATTTTAGCAGTGGAAGAACACGTTGAAATAAAATAACACTGTCAATGATGGGTCAGGGACCTGCTGAATACTACTGCCATCCTATCTCAGCATGATTTATACTTCCAAAATTCAGTTAAGCTTTCTCTACCTATTTTCATTCAGGGAAAATATTTTCTTTCTCCTCACCTTTACCTCTTTACCATTTTACCTCTTTACCATTTAGGCTCAAAGGACAGGTGTCGTATCATTAAAATAAGTGTGTGTGTGTGTGTATATATATATATATATAAAAAAATGTGTATATGCATTAATATACCTATGTGTATTTTAATGCATACACACTGCTAACCAAATGAGGTCTTGATCTCACTTATAGACTGTAAGCGCCATGCACATACAAATACTCACATGGGAACAGGTTAGATGCTTGGATGAAATACTCTTTTTTTCCTCCATGTAAGTAACTGAGCAATAATTAATATCAATGCCAGTAGAGCACAGGTCTGAATTCTGACATTAAATAGGAAGAGAATGAATAGCGAAGACAAAAAATACTAATTTCAGCTATTTGCTTTTCCGAGCCATATAATAGAGGAAGTTACGTCTATCACAGTACATTGGGAAATCTGGCTCCTGTCTGATTTTGTTTTGATGAAAGCTAGTCTTAAACTATCATTTTGCTGTCTCCCCAGCCTCCTGTGCAAACATATGTCATTGCAAAGGCAACTGTCTGCAGATGATTGCCTTGATGAAGAGGTCAGATAAACTGTTTTTTTAGTCTGAGACCTGGGTCTGTGTTTTTGTTCTGTTGTTGCACCCATTGCTATGTGGTTGGCTTAATTCCCAGTCGGTAGTCACTCTGAGTAGATTTATGCTACTGTTTTAGGGCTTCCTTTGTGTTTAATACATAGATATTTGGGAGGCTTTAAAAAGTCATAAATTAAGCTGAGCAGAATTATTCACATGAGCAAACTCCTTGGATGCCCTGATGTTGCTTAAGCAACTGTGGATGGGATGTCCTGCCAGTGTGAGGAAGAAGTGAATCCCCTATCACCTATGACAATAGTAAATAAAAAGAGTAAGAACAATCAGAGCAGGATATAAAATGCATAATATGGGACCAAGTCTTTTCACTTAGTGGGAATGTTTATTACTTTGGAAAAAATGGACTGAAGTGCATTATTATGTTAAATACAAAATGGCTATGGAGATGTATCACTTTTGCAAAAATACAGCTGTAGAAGTTAAGTACATAATGTATTACAATCATAATGAAATCAATAAAAGATGTATTTAGTTCAAGAAAAGTATTAAATACTGCTACATCTATTTCCATAAATTATACACAAGTATTTTTTTCCAAACTGTAATCATTAGATGAGCTTAATCCTACTGATTTAAACAGGTAAACTTTTCACATACATTGTATCTCCTAGACACACACGTTCGTTCTTTCCTCTTGCAAAATATTTTTTTACATGTTTCCCTTTCAATGAAGAGCTGGAGATGCCATCCTGGGTGTCACAAACTTTACAGAGGGGAGAAAAGAGAAGATGGTCTCTTCCAGATTTCTTACCAAGATAGAGCTGGTACAGGTGTTTTATCCTCTTGTCTGTGTTAACAGATCAGTTGTCCACTCTTCCTCACAGAACAGTTATGCTTGACTTAATCCATCCGGTTTTTCAGGTTGTTCTGGGGTTTTGTTTTGTTTTGCTTTGCTTTTTTTTTTTTTTAATAACAACAATTTGTTCTTCCCCACTCAGCCAGTTTCTTGATCATTGCACTGATCAAAGCACAGTAGTCATATTGCATGATTCAGGACAGTCTCCCCTAATCATCTATCTTTATTGCTTAATTCAGAAACAAACAGTTCATTAAAAGTAATGACTCAAGAGGCAACTGAGTGATACAAAGCTGCAGCACAGATTGCTGTTTATTTCTCTGCCTGCGATTGAAGCACAGACCACTGTAACCTAGAATGAAAAGAGGAAATAAGTTTACAAAGCACAGCTGTACTTCCAAGTAGACCTAACAGATCATTATTCTGGAAAGATTATCTGATCTTTGATTCCATGCAAGAAAGATCTGCCCTTAAAAGGTCATCTAGCTATATATGTATTCATTACAGGAGTGTAAGACTAGAGCTAAACATGTGCACAATTTATGTCTCTCTAACATCTTTAAAATGCCACAAATTGCTTCCCTAATGGAAGGTTTTAATTTCATTATATAATGCAATAAAGGAATGAAATTAATATTCACTATCCCTTATGACATGGGTTCTTTCATGTCAGGCACCAAGGCATGTGGTAAGTCTAAGTTAAGCCTATGTATATGCTGGCAAAAGGAGCAGTGTGAGGGAACATTGCTGCAAAACAGTGTGCTTTTGGCCTCTGATAACTATCCATGTTAAATCACTTCATATAATCTTACACCAGCTTTCTTAAATCAAAATAACCAGTTCCTCTCAACAGTTCATCTACTCTAGCTATTAGTTTTTCTCCTTTAATTCATTCAAAACACACTGATTTTAACAAGTCAGCATATCAAAGGAGTCCAAATAGGTTCAGCTTGTCACTGCACAAGATAGCTTCCTCCCCAGCTAGCTTGACACTGCCCATGTTGAAAGAAAATAGTTTTTCTCCATTATGCTTTCCCTCACAGCTATAACGTGCCAGTCCTCCCCCCTATACATCTAAATTCTTTCTTTGTTACTACTTTTTTTAAGCAAAAACTTCAAATACAGGCAAGATGATTGGATTCTTTGCTCTTATCCTAAGACCATGTGGCTGGCCAGGTGCAAGCCTTATGCTGTGATGGACAAAGGCAGGAGCAGCCAAAAGTGACCATGCGCTGGTCAGAAATGGGATAGTACAGGTTTAATACTATAGATTGAACCACTCAACATGCATGGATAAAGCTAGGAAATTTATAGTTTTTTGACTACAAAATCTGCCATGAAGACGAATACCTTATTCAGTTTTAAATTATTAAAGCACAGTTAATTTAGCTCATATGCTACAATTGCATTCACAATCACTATTACAGTCTGCATTAAGAATCATAGAATCATTTAGGTTGGAAAGGACCTTCAAGATCATCGAGTCCAACCATCAACCATGCCCACTAAACCGTGCTCTGAAGTGCCTTGTCTACATGCTTTTTGAATACCTCCAGGGATGGTGACTCAATCACTTCCCTGGGCAGCCTGGTCCAATACCTGACAACCCTTTCAGTAAAGAAATTTTTCCTAATAGCCAGTCTAAACCTCCCCTGCCACAACTTGAGGCCATTTCCTCTCATCCTATCTCCAGTCACCTGACAGAAGAGGCCAGTACCCACCTCACTACAACCTCCTTTCAGGTAATTGTAGGGAGTGATAAGGTCTCCCCTCAGCCTCCTTTTCTCCAGATTAAACAAGAAAGTAAGATCTAGCTCATCCATGTGACCTTCCCATCTCAGCAGATCATTTCTTGGTGTTCTGTTGACCTGTCCCAATCCAAGCAACTGTTTTATCTTATGCCGAGTAATTCACTGAAACCATTTGTGCAATACATGCTTGCTTTTGCAAAGTATTGTTTCAAGAAGTATAATTTGACCAATAAGGGTATTAACTAATAATTAAAACCCCCCTAAGTGCTACAAATTCAGTTTAGCAGAAAAGAAATTTAACGGAGCAGTCCTCAATGAAGTAGCAGCAAAGGGGTATTCTCATAACCTACATTTTAGAAGCATGGAAGTAAAAAAATTACTGTTTCCATTTAAGTCACTAAAGGTTTGTTACCCTAATTGTAAAAACATATAAAAACATTGTCAGTACCTTTTTTTCTGCTTAAAAAGGAGCAGGATCTGCAGTCTTTTTTGTAGGGAACTAAATCATCTGGGAACCTATTTACTTTCCTGTATTGACAACTTGGAGATCAGCACGTACTGGGGCTGTCTTTTTGCCCTCAGCGAGGCTCTTATATCTGGTAACACGAACTGTCAAAACTACTGGGCATAGACCGGTTCTTTGGATGCTTTGCTGGAAATACCACATGATTTATCACATCGAATAGTCATTTATTCTGAAAGAGTGCTCAGACTTAAAACTCTTGAATATAATGACATTCATTTTTTAATAAGTGAATTCCTAAAGAGTTACCAGATTATTCTGAGTAGCAGCTGCCTTCTTAAAATGGAGGATATCTGACATATATTTTATAAAAAGAAAAAACGCAGGTGCCCAAGCTAAAAATGCTTTTAAAACCCTTCTGTTTATCAAAAAAGCCAGGTATTTTCAAAGATAGGCTTGCATGGGAGTAGTGATTTTTATGAAATCTAAACAGTATAAAGGCAGACTTGGAGAATAGCATGACAAAGATCATAAAAAATACTTGAGCACATAACATAAAAAAGGGAAAAATTAAATGCATATAAACATAATCCTGAAAATGAACCTAAAATATCAGGCAGATACGTAAGGAAATGGGCAAACCCGTAAGGTCTTTGTAGTTTTACACTTACAGAGACAAGCAGCAG